AAAGGTAAAACACCTCTTGTTAATGCCCTGTTCGAAACGAATTTTGAACAGTCAATGAACAGTAAATACTTTCGCGAAACGATCGATGTTGATTTTGGATACCATTTTGTTGAACGACGTTCTGTAAATGTAGCCGATGTTCATGGCGATCTGTCAATAGAGACTCTCAAACGTATTTGTCAATTATTTAATGGTTTTCTCGTTCATGTTCAATCAACATATCTGACCTCGAATACATCGGATGTTATTCAATTTTTACGTCCACTTTCGCATCCAAGCTATATTCTATTACTCATACGTGATCTTGACGATGAGGACGACGAAGAAATTCAAACGGCTATAACAAGTATACGTTCAGCTTGTTCGAATTGTCAGATTTTCTTTTTGCCGAATGTTGCCGACAAGAATACTTATGTCAATAAAGAAAAAATTGAACAACTACGCGAACAAATTTTTCTTGATGCTGTCAAATTTTCTCATTCAAACGAACAAAATATCCAAAAGCATTTCGAACAACTTATGGATACTGATCAATGTAGAAATGCTGAACAAGACAAAGTTTTTATTGATTCCATTCGACCAATTCTTATTCATGGTAAAGAAGATGATTATCCTCTCTATTCATTATTTACTCGCATGTGTGATATAAGACATAAGCTAGCCAAGATGGATCCTTATAATGCCGATTTTCAAGATACAAAGCTATATGCTCTTCATAGTGAACTGTTTCAAATTAGTGAAGAACTAGAGAAGCAGCAACGAGCTGGTTTTCAAGCAACTGGTCAAGCATTTCAACGTTTTTTTCAACTCATTCAAAACAAAGAAGATCAATTGAATAACTTGAATTTATTATCTATTGAATTGAAACATGAACGAGATAAAAAGATATCTTCTGTAGATTCTACAACATCGTTCTATCAACAATTATCACTTGAAATTCATTGGCGAAATGCTATGATTAGTTCTAAAAGTATATCAGAACCTGAACGAAGAATACTTATCGATGCGTATCACAATTATATTGACGAAGGAAATCCTTTCGAAATCGTTGATGGCGATAATTTCGAAATACAAGGCGAATTTTTGACCGAAGTAATGCATTTATTTCATAAGAAAAAATTTTTCGTTATGAGTATAATCGGACCACAGAATAGTGGTAAAAGTACATTACTTAACTTCTTATTTGGTACTTTATTTGAAGTACGTGAAGGACGATGTACTCGAGGTAAGTCTACATGATTTTAACGATTACTTGACTATATTTTAAAAAGAAGTTAAATTTACACAAGAAACAATAAATGTTTATTTTAATTAGCAAAATCGAATAGAAAAGTCATTAACTAGAAGAAATTTTCCATGGAGAATTTGTTGATTATTATTTAAAACATTTTGATGTTGTAGGTGTCTATGGAACATTAGTCAAAATTAGATCGGAAGCAGTTACGCATGATCTTATACCGCCTGATTACGATTATATTTTATTAATCGATACAGAAGGTTTATTATCTATCGAGAAGGGTGACGAACAGTATGATAAACGTTTGATTCTCTTTTGCTTGGCTATATCACATCTCGTTATTGTCAATATTAGTGGTGAAATTCATGAAACACTAAAACAAATGCTAATACTATGTACACAATCGCTCAATTATCTTGGAGAAACTCGTGTTACGCGACCAACAGTTCATTTTGTTCTTAATCAAAAAGCCGATCCGAACAAAGCCAATTGTGAGAAACAAGTGAAAATCATTCGAGACGATTTGATAGCAAATGGTCTCAATAATTTAATTGATCTTGGACCGAATAATTTTCATGTTTTATCGACAGCATTCAACCGAAAGCCATTTTTAGATCCGAATGGAGAATGTGCCGCATTGTCAACTGATATTAAATTTGTTACAAATGTTCAAAAACTATGCAAACTATTTGTTGACTCATCTTTTCAAATAATTCGTGACACTGGTGATCGTTTTTCTATACCAACAAAATGGATTGAATTTGCTAATAGTGTACTTCAAGTCATAAAAAAATATCCAGATTTAACTTATTTCAAAGATATTTTTGAACGAGAACAAAATAATAAAATACGGCAAGATATTCGCAACGATTTTGAACAAATTTTATCACCAACACAAGCTCAACTATTGATCAATAGAGAAAAACACAATAGTATTAGTCATATTCAAGATTCATTTCAAATCGAACAAGAGAAAATTTTAAATGAACTTGAATCAAAACTTGAACAAAAGATAGTAAAATATGCAGTAAGTGAAAATGTTCGTCAACGATCATTTCGTTTTATGCGAGTACAAGTAGCAAGTCGATTTCGTTCATGGGAAGTGTCAGCTATTATGGCAGGTGAACGAGACAAACTGAATAAAATGGTAGATGATAGTGATGCTGAACTTCGACAACTTGCATATGATACAACAGGCAAGAATCATTGTATTGATAAAAATTTGGCAATCGAAAAATTTGAAATGATGTGGAAAAATCAATTTAGTTGCGTCCAAGTAAAATTCGATTCCGAAACTCAATGGAAACAATCGATTGATTTAGTTTGCCGGCTCTATGATGTACTTGATCAAGATGCTTTGCCATCATTAGATAATGTGCTCACCTATTTACCCTTTCTCATGACACTCGATAACTTTGATCAATTATCAAAAATCTCTACCGAATGTATATCGAAAGCTTCTAATATTAATCCTCTCGCCCCACATTCAACAAATACAGTTTATACAATATGTTTTTCTGATCTACAGAAACCGTATACATTTCTCAACAATGATGCACTGTTAGCAATATATTGCGGCGACAAAAATAGTAGAACACGAACAAGAAGTACATGTAGATTAGGTGTACGCCAAGATTTTTCTCAAGAAATGAATAGCAATTGGCGAACGACTGTTCGAGTACCGCACTGTTTCGAGCTTTTAATTGGACGTATAAAGGAAATCTATCAATTAAAAATCAGTGATGATGAATTTTCAACTGAAATTATTCTTCTGCAAGATATATTGGGAACAGTCGATAAATTAATAAAAGATGTGAATCAAGAACTAAGTATGTTCAATTTTTCTATGTCAAAAAGTTTGAAAAGCATTCTACATATTTGTGCTTTACTATCAACTGCTCTATTCTACTATCATCTACATAAAACCGNGGCAACATCGCTTTCTTCACATCGTTGTAGTTCAAGAGAATGATGATGAAAATGTTGCTACTAATCTTATCAATGAGTTTTCTGATCAATTACGTCAGTCATTTGAACTGAAAGTCAAAGAAATTATTGGAACATGTGTTGAAAATGAACTGAGAACACTGAATCAGTATTCTATTATGAAAGAGCTCGATGGTGAAGTCTACGAAGCTTCAAACGATTGGCTTATGAGTTATGTTCTCTATCCAATTCAAATAATCAGCGAACGACTTGTTCAACGATGGGAAAAAATCGAAACAAGAATCCTTCAACTGGTCAACATCAGTATGAATTCACATTTAGAAATAGTAGCTGAATTCTTTCGCATCATAGAAGCAATCAAAATTGCTTTGAAATTAAAAGGTGGAGATTCATTGACTTTTGTCGATGATCTATTCGAATCGTCGAGTAACGATATCAATCAGAATCTATTCGATAAGAAATTATGTATGGCTACACTTCTTTACCAATATCTCTCAGACGAAGCTATTTCAACGCAGATAACTATTAAAAATGGTTTGACTTATACGGTTCAATCTAAGTGGCAAGAAACTATTAATAACATGCCGAAATCAAGCGATCAGCTGAAAAATATTTTTCGTTCCTTGAAGACTACGTTTGAAACGTATACGATCACTTATATTGACTTATTTCTCGATAAGGTCATCAATCAAAAAACAACAATTGAACAAGAATTGCAAAGTTTGATGACTACTTTTATTACAAACAGTTGCCGTAGCACACGAGAACGACTACTCATTCAAGTGCGTGGTTGTAAAGAACAGTGCCCTTGTTGCAAGCGTTTATGTGATATTGATCATCGGTTGGACAATGCTACACCTATGGGACAAGGAGAGAACAGACATCAATGCCAGTCTGGTCATCAGATTCGAGGTATGGGTGGCGTACGATATGAAGTGACGAATGAAGCATCGACAGTTTGGTGTGAAATAATCAAAGATGAAGATCCTATTGTTACTATTAGAGGTCAACGACAGACATGGATAAATTTCAAAAATGCTCACACCGATTGGGATTTTGGTGATCCAAGAATTCGAGAAAATCAAAAGACACCCTATACTTATATATGGGAGAAAATTGGAGAACAACTATGTCTACACTATGGTAACGGAATGAAATTTGTTACACAAAATAGTCCGACTCCGATAAATCATTTTATTCTTCTACTCGATCATTCCGGTTCTATGAATGGTACGATTTTCAAACAAATATCTCGTATATTAATACCGGGCAAAACGACTAGTACGGCGAGTGATTCTAATCAAGCGGATTTGAGTCCATGGGAACATTTGCTTAAAGCTGTCAGAGAATTTATTCGCATTCGAATTCAAAAAGTATATCACACTGATGAAATGACCATTATTGTTTTCGCCAATAGAGCGACACGAATTTATAATCGAGAAAAATTGAACAACATCGATATGAATCGGCTTAATATGTCGATGTTAGTCTGTGGTGCAGGTACTAACTTTTCAGTTGCATTTGATATGCTTATTGAAACGCTGAATGAAATTAGGAATAATCCAGCGTGTAATAGTCTTCGACATATAATCATCTTTCTAACGGATGGAGACCCTCAAGTTTATCCAACGTCTGAATTAGAACGTTTATCTACCGATTTCAAATCAATGATTACTGATTTCTGGGCAATGGGTCTTGGTAAATATAATAAGAAAGTTCTCCAAAAAATAAATGAGAAAATGCAAGGCAAGTTTACAGACATTGAAAAGCCGGAAGATCTTATTGAAACATATGCTGAGATTGCTGACTCTTGTGATACAAATTTACCTTGAAAATGTTCTCATGTTGCCGTTAAAATTTATATGACTCTTCATGATTAGTTTGGTGTGTGTTCTTTACTTGAATTTTCATTTAATCTTTCATGCATTATTGAAGTCTAGAAAATAAAGAAAAGTCTTCTCATTTCTTTTAGACAAATACGATTCATAACTGAAGTACGAAAATGTAGACTATTCAAAAGATAGAGAGAAATTATCTAATATTATTTGATTATTTGGAACAATAAGTAGAAACTAGAATTATTTTTGGATTCGATTTCTTTCTAAAGTGCCACATTGTCCTTATCAGATATATGACAGTCACATATCAACGATGTATTCCATAATCCATTTAATTTGAACTTATTAATAAAGCAAGCAATGTTTGCCTAGTATGGTAGTATCAGTACTTGAATAGCCTTATTGTTCGAATAGGGGTGCACGATGTTTAGGCTATTGAAAAAGGCATAATGAAAAACAGTTTTCTGAACCATTTCTTTTCATTTTTGAAAAAGTCACACATCGAATAAATGTTACTTGCATATTCTCGCAATTAAAGAAGTATTTTCCACAACAATAATATGACATACAAGAATTAAATAACATGAATAACCGAATGATCAAATATTCGAAAATAAGCAATAAATACTTATGAACTACAGTAGAAATAAAATAGTTCAACGATTTCGGTTATAGGTATGGGTGAAAAGATGACTAATAGTCACATCCACATTCTCGGCTTAGTGCCATGCCAACATAAACATCAAATTTTGCAACTTATGCGCATTGAATGATAGAAACAAGAAAGGTGAATTCGATTAATGTTGTACCGTGTCTTGTTGCACACGCTGCCAACAGGCAAGAGCGTAATGCATTATTTTCTTCTTCATTTGATTGTCGCTCCATGTGTGTTTCTTCTCGTCATTTTTAAAGCAGAGTTGCACTCACTCAATCGAATGCAATTGCTAAAAATGACCGTCGTCAATTTTAATGAGTTTAGATAGTTTCATCGAATTCTAGAAAAATAATTGGAAATCGATGATTTAATCAATTCTTTTTCTTGGATATATCATGTGAGATATTCGATTTCTGTGCAAATACAAACGTTTTTTTCAATCGAGTTTCCAATGTTTTACTTCAACACTATTTCTTCATCTTTTCAGAAATATCGAAGAATTTTCGGTGTTCGACATGGCCACAAACGAAATCGCACAACACATTCTACGCATCTCAGACATTGATAAAGAACCTCAAGAGATGCTCACGCCTATTCATGGCTATGATCAAATGCCATTGATGTCACTCGAAGAAGCCGTACAGCCACTTGTTCCTATTCTACCTACAATACAAGATTATGCCTATGTGGCTAAAGAAAAATGTAAGAAACCCGTAGATGGTTTGACACAAGACGAGTCAGCCTCAATTATGCTCTACTCTATGGGATGGGGACCACTCGAACAATATCTATATGCTGCTTTGAATGCTGCACTTCGATCAGCAGACAGACAAAACCTTAGTTCATGGTATCTCTATCTCAAATTGATTTTCACTGCACTCTCACGTTTACCATCTCAACATCGATTTGTCTATCGAGGCATCAAAATAGATTTGAGTGACCACTATCGAAAAGGTGAGACGATTGTCTGGTGGGGCTTTTCATCGTGTACTATCTCGATTGACGTTCTACAATCTGAATTATTTTTGGGTAAGACAGAAGCAAGAACAATGTTTACTATTAAATGCAATTCAGGCAAAGATATTCATGATCATTCTTTTTTTCCAAATGAAGATGAAATACTTCTTCTTGCTGCTTCTCAATTCAAAGTCGTCGGTTGTCTTGATCAAGGCCATGGTCTTCATGTGATTCAACTAAAAGAAATCGAATCATCCGTACCACTAATACAACCAGTGACACTTGCTGCTCATTCGAATAAAGCATCATCTGGTAAGTTAAATAACACTTCTTCAATTATTACACATTTGGTTAGGTCGGTATTCATTGGAAAAGTTCCTCAAGCTCATCAAACTCTTTCTCGAATTGAGATTCTTCTCTATGACGAAAATTTGCTTTCGAAATCAATAACAATTAATTCGATCAGATCAAATCTCATGTAGAGACTGATCATTTTCTTTTCATAAATTTACTGTCGAAAATTTGTCTCGACTAATAAGATCCCTGGATATCAAGAAAAGACTTTCCGTTTCTATTTTTTTTATCGCGTTTTAGAAGTCAATGAACATAAAAACAAGACACAACTCAAACAGCTCTTTGCACAATGTCATTCTCGTTTCAGAATAGAGTTGTGCTCCAAACAATTAGACGATGAAGATATAGAGATAGTGGTCAAAGAGGCCATCATCAACAAACGATGTACATGGCTCGAATTAGGAGGAAACAAGATTACATCAGTTGGTGCCTCGATTCTAGCCGACGCCTTGTTCGACAACAAAACATTGGAAACATTGAATCTTTTCCGTAATTGTGTGTCTGATATGGGTGTCAAGTATCTTGTCAAGACACTTTGCACTAGCAATCAGACTCTCAAAGAACTTAGCCTTTCACAGAATGGCATAACCGATACGGGTGTGGAACATCTCGTTCAAATGCTCAAGACGAACCGAACATTGACTCAATTGTGGCTAAATGGGAATGGCATTAGTGATCGAGGAGTTCGACTACTATCCAAGGTACTTGAGAATGATAATGTTACTCTTAAAGAACTGTATCTTTCGTTAAATAAGTTGGTAACTGATTTCAGTGTTGACTCACTCTGCGAAATGATCAAACATCATCAAGCACTGAAGAAACTCTACATGTATGACTGTAATTTGTCTGAAATGGGCAAAGACAGACTTCGAAAGACAACTATGTCGAAAAAGAGCTTGCGCGTCTCACTTTAGTATTCTTTCCAGATCAGCCAGAACGATTCGTATACTGGAGTAAACGAATGAAAAACGGATAGTTTACGACGATCCGTCACTTTTCGTATACGGCTTACTGTTTACGGTCTAGTTGCGGATAACTTACGGAACCGCTTAACGAGTATCGCAAACGGCTCCGTAACAGATTTCGTGTACGTATTGTTTTTAATCAAGTTTTCGTTAATATTTTTAAACATTCTAGAAAATACTTCTTTTTCTTAATATTGTTTTTTCTTGGTCGAAAACTGGCGAAAAACAAAAAGAATATTGCACTGAACGTTGAACAGATACATGCTTATCTTGAAAGCATTTGTTTTAGCGCCATCTAGGCAAAAGGAAAAAATCTCGCACTAACATCTCTAATTATCAGTGTTTCTAACATTAAGTACTTCAAGCAAAAGCAAAGTATTCAAGGTACTTACGATTTTTGAAAAGTACTCTGTTTTGTACTTTGCGGATAAAAACAAAGTATCTTGAGGGTACTTTGTAAAATAAAAATGCACTTTGTTAATTTTTCACCATTATGTAAAAGTCGCGCGCTTCTTCTTATGTGTGTTGTGTTTTACTTGAACATGAAGCTAAGAAAGTTTTTCTTCTGTAGTTTAATCGAAACGAATTCAAATTCATGATATTCATGATCGATATTTCTAATTCTACTTTCAGATCTGCATATTTTTTTTTCGATAATGATCTTGTTCTGTTGTTGTTGTTTCTGAACAAGGGTGTGGGTGTATTTCTCCAATTAAGCCATATCCACACCCATTTTTTTTCTTTAACTGTTGTTTTTATTTAGAGGTAAAGAAGAACGAACATATTATGAAGGTGAAATGCAACAAAAACGTATAATTTAAATTAATTGTTGATGGTGTACATATGTTGGAATTATAGCGTAATAATCTTCGCATGTTTCCACATGATATTCAACCAATATGTCAAGAAATATTCGTTAAAATCACTTATGATTCAAATGTATTAGAAAAACAAAATAATAAAAAATTCAAAAATAATGATTTAGATTTTAATTCAATAATTAATAAAACAAAACAGCAAGGTTAAATCAAAATCTTATCGTTTTTTATATGATTTGATTTTTTTTTAAAACGTTATTAAAATTATTTCATAAAGATAAATTACTTAATGATAATGAATTTTATCATTGAATTAGAAACTATCAATTAAATGATGATGATGATCAAACGATAAACATATCAACTGTAAATTGATTTTTGTTTTTATTAAGGGGGAGCTCCCCCCCCCCCCTTCACAAAAGTCAATTTTGGCCAAATTTATCGATTTTGTGATTCATAGCAGGCTAGATAGAGCAAAGTGTCTACTCTTGAATGCACTATAGATTATTGATTTTATAATGAATTTTAAGGAAATTGTAGAGGTTTTTTAAAAACTTCTTTTGTGTTGTTCTCAAAATCAGTTTTTTCGAGCATACTGTTTACGCGGGCAGGCCTTTCTTTATAACGACTCAATATAGAAGTGATAATTTTTTTTGTTATGTAGCAGACACTTCGGGCTAGATCCTAATAGAGCTCGATTTTTGGATTTCTCTCTTGCTGAAATAAAAGACTTACCTCTTTCATTTTCCCTAGCGATTTTTTTGGTGCTAAATTCGACAATTTTCCAAGAAAGTGTTTTTTTAAATCAAACAATGGGAAATTCAAAAATCGGACTCTATTAGGATCTAGCGCTAAGTGTACTCTACATTTTGAAAACGACCCGACACGCTAAGCTCGAACTCTCATTTTGAAAACCTTGCCCGCGTAAACGCTATTTTTGACTAATGAATTGACTAGAATTCGTGAGTATCTTGCAGATTTGGAGAGATATTTTAACCATAATCTATTCTAGCCAAGACTAACATTCTATCAAATTTTGGTTGAAATCGGATGAAAAATAAAAAAGTTTGTTTCTGAGGGAGGGGGGCTCCCCCTTAAATAGATTTTTATAAGATTTTATTCTATAGAAAGATAAGTTGAAATTAATGATTAAAACAGCAAATGACAAATGATCGAATGAACAAAGAGAAATACAAAGTTATTCAATGCATTTATCTCGAACAAAAATATTTGTTGATTTTATGAAAAGTTATACTAATGAAAGAGTTTATATTGAGATTCCTGATAATGTAAGTTGCTTGCGAGATTTAACATTGCATTAAAAAAATATTTAGACCTGGCCGATTGATGAACCAATAAGTCAAGAAATAACGATTCCTAATAAACCAAAAATACCATCACCATTTGATCGATCAAAATTAAAAGAACAAATTGAAAATAAACAAACATGTTCCCAACTTGATCTATTAAAAATGCCAGAAGAATGTGATCAATTATTAAATCTTCAAACAATTATTCATCAAAAAGATGAAGAAATTCATTGTGGAGATTTATTTGGGAGTAAGTATTTATTTTAAAAAAAAATCTTATTTTTTATTGCTTTCCTTTTTCAGCTGATTCAACATTTGATATAACATGTTCACATCATGAATTAATTCTTTCAACAACATCAAGTCCAACACAAATTGAACCAATTCATGATGATAATAGTGGAAATTTTAATGTTACAATTGATGATCTTTTTCTAGCATCTCAAACATCTCATTTATCAGCAATATTACAAATAAATAACATTAAATTTCAACAAAAAAATCTTTTTGATGATGATGATGATGATGATGATGAATTATTAGAAGCCTTTAATAAACATATTCAATTATCATCATCAAATCAAATAATTAATCCAAGTCCAGTGTTAGTTCTTACAAATAGAGCTAATACACAAATTCAAACAGTTGATATTACACTTCCAAAATTTGATTTAGAATTTAGTTTTGATGATCTTGATAACAGTGATGAACAAAATAATAATATTCTCCAAACGCAAGTCTTTATCTAAGATTTTGTTTAATATAATTTTGAATTTAAATTCAAACTTAGAATGAGAGTTGTTTTTTTTAGTTCTATATCTGAATCAACGAATAAAAATGATGTTACAACATATTCTGATAAATTTGAAAGACCAATTCGACCAATTCCATCAAAAAAACATGTTCGACGTCTTTCAACAATAACACCTGATATAATCGAAAGAAAAAAATATAAAAGTGCCCAAGAACTTGGTTTTAAACAACAAGAACGACATTTTCATCGATGTCTTGCATTAGATTTTCTCAATCGTGAAGCTATCGTTGATAAAACACTATCTGATATAATATCATCTGATAAAGATGAAAATGAACATAATCATTTTATTGATGATTGACAGGTTTTAACACAAATGGCAAATATTGATATGATTAGTATAAATTTAAAAGGTATAAAAAGTCCAAAAAAGAAATTCTCGTCAAGCTCCATCTGCTATTCCAATTGAAGATATCTATTCTCAATTACCACATATGACAATGCATGATGATACTTATGATGAAGATGATAGTTTTGTTGATGATACAACAGAAATAATAGATGAACATCATGGTGACGTTGATTTAAATGAACTTGCAAATATTCTTGGTACTCAATCAGTTGTACATCGTCAAAGTAAAGTAACAAGACGTGGAGTCAAATTTGGACGAACATTAGAAACAACAACACCAAAACGTAAACCACCACGTCGTGTTCAAATTGCACAAAGTCCTATATAGTTTTTCGTATACTTCTTTTTTTTCTATTGTAGATTATAACTGTTTTTTTTTTGCATCGCAATTTTTTCGATGCTGATATATTCTTTGTTTTCTTCTTGTTATCTATGTATAGTTATATTTATTATAAAAAATGATCTAGAAAAACGTTGAATGCGGCAGACAAATAAAAACAAACTACGCAGAATGAAAATTAGTCTGATGCAATATGTTCAAGCAAAGCAGATACATTCGTTTCTTTGTTCTTAAATTCAGTAGCGGCGCGGTATTTTTCTTCTCTTGCATTCTGCGCTGGACATGGAGAGGGATCCCCATATCCAGCGCAGAACGCAAGAGAATAAAAATATCGCGCCGCTACTGTCTAAGTTATCTCTCGTAAATTGAAAACATGTTATCCATAGAATATTTTCTTTTTCTAATCGATCACGCTGTCACTACGTGCATATTCATTTATGATTATTCTGCATAGTTAGACGAGATTTCATCATTATTCTTGTATCTATATGGACGGATTATTTAGAAGATACTTTGTTATTAACAATAGAAATGTTAACTGTGCCCTTATCTACAAAACAAACAAAGGATATGATCGAGGTCTATCGATATCGATGTTTAGTTCGACATATATATAGAAGATACTTTGTTTTTAACAATAGAAATGTGAATTCTACCCTCCCTACACAACAAACAAAGAATATAATCGAGGTCTGTTTAATTCAATGTATATATAATCATATTTTTTTGCCTTTTGCGTTATATTCCACCATAAACATCTTCTTCGTATTTCTATTCATTCAAATTTATTTAACCATGTCGAACAAAACTACTTCCACTACCACACCATCATCAGGTTCAGGTAAAGTATATTCAGCACAAGCTGATAATGTTCATGTTAAATCAGTTGTTCAAACTGAAACACAATCAATGGTTAGTATTGAAAATACCAAGAAAATAACTAATTGAATGCCTCATCTTGGTAAGTTTAATATAAAACTAAATCAATAAAAAAAAATTTTATGGTTAATTTAAGGTCCAACACATCTTCAAGATGACGAATATTCACATAAACTTACTGAAGAAATTTATGAAGCTGTTCTTGGACCAATTAAAATAGTTGTTGGTGAAACACAATTACAACAACAACAACTTCTTGCTGATACTAATTTACGTACGTCTGATAAATTTCGTTTTTATTTGTTTGTAATTTTCTAATTGATTCGAGTTTTTTTTCTTATTTAGAAATTCAAAATGATTTTAAACGTAAATTACCACAACATATTGCGAAACTTGATTCTGAAAAAAAACTTAATATTCAACAGGAACGTATTCTTAAATCAGCCCATAAATGTGTTAATGATGATCTTTATGAAGATAATTGTTTGAAATTGGTTCGTGCAACAACTTTTCTTTTCATTTAATTCTCTATTTTTTTTCCTATTGATGTGCATGGATAATTATATGGCTGATGACATCGATGTTATTGCCGAGTCAGATGATGGTGAAAATTATGAAAAATTATTGTAAGTAATATACATCGGTTTAATTTTGTAAATATGACTGACCTCTTCTATTCTAGCGTCGATACGTGGTTGTTGTTCTTGTTCCAGCTGTCCCAACTGCTGAACTTGCTCCAGCTGTCCCAACTGCTGAACTTGCTCCAGCTGTTCCAACTGCTGAACCTTTTCCAGTTGTACCACGTTGTGATCGACATTATTTTACTTGTGGCATAATAAGTGGTTTATTAATTGGTATAATTATAATGAAAGTGGTGAAATGATTGTTTTTCTTTTTTCTTTTTGTTTTTTGTAAATTTAATCGTGGAAATAATAAATATAATTTATGAACGCATATTTTTCTTTTCGATATTACAACGAAAACTTTGTCTTGTAGGCACAAAAGAAAGAATGAATTAAAACGAAAAAAAGAATGTAAATAGGTGCACAGATATCATCAATATTCGTCCTATTGAGCAAAAGAAAAAATACGGGCATACTTAGATAACGATGAAACGAAGGTAAGCGAGCGTAGCAAACAAAATATTACAGGTTAAAATAGAACAACAAAAGATTTTCTTTTTCTTTTATATACACAAACTTAATTGAAAATGAAAAATGATAACATAAAAAACTTTGTTAGGTGCGTGGAGANCCCCACCCGCCCCCCCCCCCGCCCCCACCCACCCCCACCACCCCCCCCACACCCACACGCCACACCCACACCCACACCCACCCTAATCATTTTAGATCCACATGTTCTATGGAATGACAAATGTGCATATTTATTGACAAACATAAATTGAAATCAATATATCGGACATATAAGAATATTTACAATATATGCACATATTATACATTGTTCTGGTGACAGTTTTTAGACCGTCGTAAGCTTTTGTTCAGTTAAGTCAATTGACGAATAGTGAGTAAATTGGTATTTGATCAATACCTTGGCAGCTAAATGATGAGTTTTTGTCGTTACTAGATGATACTGTCTCTGTAATTTAGAAACCTAAAAGCTAGAGAAATGTTAGTATTGATATGAATCATTCTTAAAAATTTAGCCAGCAAATATCAGAGCCAAAGCCCATAAATTCTAACTTTATCAAAAATACTGTCAAATTTTCAATGATAATTCAGTTATCAATATATTCATCGTCGTCAACGTCCTTATTTCATCTTGTTTGTATACTAATTTGTCATTGCATATTGAGGGTTGGACAACTTTTCGATCGCTAACAAAAATGAATATTTTCAGCGGAAATCAAGCGCTCAGCGCAAAAATGCTGTCTTACACAGCAAAAATCAGACTATGCTGACATCCAACCCTACCAAATATGAATCTTCATTGAAATAATATTGTCCTCAATACGAAGATTGATAGTTAATTTTTAAAAAATGTACAAGTTTCAAGCAAAATGTCGCGCATCATCCTAACTAATCAGTATACCTTCGGATATGATTTCCTACAGAATAATGTTATCTTCAACATGAAAAACTTACACACGTACTTTAGCAAGGGAAAAATGGAAAAGCATTGAAAGAATGTGGTTTTCAATAGCAAAAATGATTCAGAAAAAAACTTGACTCATTTTTCCCATTAGCAAAATGGTTCAATTAAACTCTACTTACGTGCATAATTTAGCAGTGGAACAATGAAAAACCATAGGAAGAATATGGTTTTCCATAGGAGACTGAGTAACAAAATTGTTGAACTGATTTTTTCCATCAGTACAAACTCTATCTAGACAAACATTTTTTCTTCTCCCTGCTCATTTTTTCGTTTTATAAAAATTAATATTTAGAGAAAAACACGTGAATCAAAGTCTATCTATATACATACACTAATAGCGGGGAAAATGAAAATCCGTCAGAAAAATGAAAATGCTTATAGGAAATTATGATTTGGTAAAGTGAAATTGTGCTTATTGCTACTAAAAAGATCATTCTGTTTTGTATTTATTTTAAAAAGCGTGTTGTTTTACTTTTTTTATGTAACTATCTGTTATACATCGAAATAAAATGGTCATATTACCGAACCTCAGAAGGTTTCGTTGACAAATGACGGTTTCGTGAAGAAAAAGAGGGTTCCCAACAATATACAAAACCTTTAAAGGTTTCGAGTTTTGCAACAAATTCTGAGCCTCTTTAGGTTTCTTACCAAGCACTAAGAAGCCTTCTCAAACCTTTAAAAAAGGCTTCAATTGATGATAATCATTTTGAAGGGGTCAAAGCTTCTACGAAATCCCTCTGAGGGTTTCGAATTCATTGCAAACAAGGTTCGATATGATACCTATTTTTTCAGTATGAAGGTGTTTTGGAGATAGATGTCAATTAGATTAAATTTTGTTTGGATGGATAAAATACAAGTTGTGATTAGGATGCGAACTCACAAATGTGATATAGAAGTCGAAATCGTTACGATAAATGGTTAGAAGAATGAGTTCAGAGAGTGAAAGAGATTTGAAATATTACGAAAACGTATGTCAATGAGAGAAGAAAATACAATAACACACCTGTTTCCTATGTCGGTATCGTAGAATAACTCTATATATATATTCGATAGTCGTATATAAACAGAAAGAAAAGAAAATTCATTTGCGCCCGGAATAATATTTTTTCGCTTAAAAAAGGCATTTCTCTCAGCGATCGAGAATTCGTCCACTGCTGTGCACATTATACTCGGAGCGTTTTTCTTTTCAGATCCTATGTGCTTTCCTTATTTAGAGTAAATATCGCTTTTCACCATTAATTTCTATGTCTAATTGATCTAGCTTCAAATCTTTATGATTGTTCTGCTTTCAACGATTCTGACACTTTCATGCTCTTCGTTATATTCAACAACAACAACATCATAAGATGAAACTAATAAGGGTGTGGGTGTGGGGTGCGGGTGTGGGTGTGGGTGTGGGTGGGTGTGGGTTCTATCGAAAAGATTACTGACCTGTACCTACATCCACACCCACACCCACACCCACACCCACACCCAAAAAAATTTCAACCGTGTATGGTGGAACACAAATGTCAATAAGAGAATTAAAGGCTTTAGAAGAAAATCAAAACGGATTGATTCCAGTAAATGCATTTTTTTCGACTAGTAAATCATCCTCAGTTGCTACTCGATTTGCTTCTGGTGGCACTCAAGATAATCCAACAGTTATTTTTACGATTTTTATAGATTATCATGTTCATGATCAACCGTTTGCTCTTATCGAAAGTTCGAGTAATTTTGCCCATGAAGAAGAAATATTGTTTTCAATAGGTACGATATTTAGAATTGAAAATGTTGAACTAATGAATGATACTATTTGGTCTATTGAGTTAAAATTATATAATAGGGACAATTTAGAACTAAAGCAACTTATCAATAGTTTTGAGGAAGATATAGGTAAAACATCAACACTTTTCGATCTTGGTACAATATTCTCCCACATGGGAGATAACGATAAAGCAGAAACATACAATCGAATTTTGCTTGAACAATTGCCACCGAATAATAGTTCTATGTCAATAGTTTACACCAATATTGGTGATACTTATTTAAATAGAGGTAGCTATCAGAAAGCATCAGAATATTATGAACAAGCTCGATCGATAGCGTTGAATCTCGAACGAGATTTTCATATGTGCCTTGCTTACGTATACGATTCGATCGGTTTGTTAAATGATAGAATTGGAAAGTATGAAGAAGCAATAGAAAATTTTAAAAAAGCGTGTGATATTAAATTAAAATCTATACCAGAGAATGCTCTTTTTATGGTATCAACATATAACAATATTGCAATGGTATACAGACATAAACTAGACTATGAATTTTCACTAGAATACTACAATAAAGTACTTGGTATTGAACTCGAATCATTACCAGAATTACATCCCAATATTGCTGCAACTTACAATAATATTGCATTACTGCAAAATCAATTGAGCCATTATGACGAAGCATTAAATAACTATACAAAAGCATTAAGCATTGAACAAAAATCATTACCATCGAATCATTATAAAATTGGAACCACCTATAACAATATAGCATTACTTTATACGAATACTAATGATCAAATAAAAGCTTTAGATTATTATGAAAAAGCATTGACTATGTTTTGTAATACTTTAGAACATGATCATTCAACTATTGGATCGATTTATGATAATATGGGAGACGTGCATTATAAACTTGAAAGTAATGATAGAGCTATGGATTATTTCCAAAAAGCACTTGATATACGATTAAAATCATTTCCAAATGATCATATCGATCGTACAGCTACATTAAATAGTATAGGTGTGATTTATTTAATTCAAGAAAATTTTACTGATGCACTTAAACATTGTGAACAAGTACTTGAAATACAACTGAAATCATTTCCAGATACTCATCCGGATTTAGCTGCAATGTATTTTAATCTTGGTAGAATTAATTCAAAACTAAATCAACACAATAAAGCATTACAAAATTTTCAAGCATCTCAAACAATCATGATCAAAATCTTTAAAGAAGATAATCATGATCTTGAATTATTATATTTTAATATTGGTAATACTTATCTCTTACTCGAAAATCATCAAAAATCAATTGATAATTAATGAAAAATCTCTTCAAATTCAACTAAAGAAAATCGATTCAGCCAAAGATCATTTAGCAATAACATACAGATATATGGGACTAGCTTTCAATAAGCTAGGTAAATATGTTGAGTCAACAAAAAAAATTAAAAAAGCATTGGAAATTCAATCAGAATTACAAAATCAACTTGAAATAATAAAAATCATTTCATATA